TGTCAGCTCCTGACTCAAGCAGCAATCGGACAACTTCCAAGTGGCCATGCCTGGCTGCATAGTCCAAAGCGGTCCAACCAAATGTATCTGCTGCATCTTTGTCAGCGCCAGCCTCGAGAAACAATCTCACAACTTCTAAGTGGCCTACCTCGGCAGCAAGAACCAAACCTTCCCCGTTCGGGTCCAGTGGCATTTGAAGCAGCCTTTCGATGTCAGCCACACTATTCGCCTCGCAGCTTGTGAGCAGTTCTTCTTCCATGGTCTCATCAGGGGCACACAAGGGCAGAATTACCAGCAGGACATTTGATAGTGGTCGTAGAGGCAAGTCATCCTCCAATTCGCCCATTTCGTCACTGAAGAGTCTTTGCTGAAACCTTGAGCACCCAACCTGAGCCGAAAGACGTCTCTTGAGGTCTCGAACAGATTGCCCACTTTCCACCAAGTAATGCAGTTCATCCTCATCAAGCTGAGCAATCGTGTTGCCAGACACAGCCGTCACCTGCATTGCTGCGCCTTCAGAATTGAGAGGTGTAGGCTTGAGCCATGGTCAACATCAAGGCCCTATATACACCATATATATTCCCTAGCAGTCCAAGACAATTAAACAAATTGTCCTTAGGTGACCCGAAGAATAACTTCCACTACTTCAGTCACCAAAAAATAATTTGACTTCTTTCCGGGTGTCTTTACAAAAAACAACAGCTTCTCCCTTCCGTACCCAGCCCTTCGGGGAACAGTACGGCTCGCTGTTGTTTGATGTGAGGGATCTCAACGAAACAATCGGCCTCCCCACTAGCATCCCGAATCAGTACTCAATAGTACAAGATATACCGAGTCCAAGCGAGTCCAATGATTCTGTGTAGCACTTTCTCGTCCGGGCGGCATCCCTGAGCATAGGCCACCAGCAACTTCAGCAGGATCGACAACTCGCTGGCATTTGGGGCTCGCATGCCTTCCAAGAGGCCTGGGGCGTGGATGGATCCTTGGAGGTCTTTGAGTCGGACCTGGAGCACCTGGGAGCAACCTGTCGGCTACATGCACCCAAAAGCACCCACCATGAGCTCAAGGCTACGCACCAAAACCCCAACAGCTTGGAAGTTCGATTTGGAAGACCGGGGCCCGTGGATCAAGGACGGTTTGGAGTCGAAGCTCCCGTCTGGCCATGTCTCTAGAATGGTTTTGATGAAGATAAAGGACTGGCTCTTGAGTTCGATGGATCAAAGGACTGGTGCATGAAGAGGTGCAGCTGTGCCTCGAACCTCCTCCAAACCCAAACACTCCATGGGACTGGCATAGGACTGCCGCCGATCAATTCAGGTCTTCCCCACCGCCGTTTCTCGGCAGTCTGTCAGTCCCATAGGTCGTGTCAAAGGAATGACCTCCGGACATCGCTTGGGGTCGCCTCCATACCTCTCCATCGCTCCATACACTTTGCTTCGCGTCCACCGGCGCTTCGGTCCACGGTGGCCTAACAGCGTCGCGTCTGCTCCGCGCGCCGCGCGGCTCGCGCGTCGCCTGCTTGCGAGATCACCAGGAAGGGGCAGCGCACGGAGCTGTAGGTGATGAACGGCGCCCTGGGACGGGGACGCCACGTGCGGAGCTGAGAGCGGATCGGACTGGCGTGAGAATCGGAGCCCGCCGCGGAAGGCCTAAAAAGTATGGTTTCACCAGCAGAGGTTGAAGAACCCTATAGGCTATCCTAATGGGTCCCCCAGTAGGGTTTGGAAAGGACGTCAAAGGGAAGTTGTTTCCACACCGAAACACCACCGCAAGTCGCGTGCACCTACTTAGTCACTGGATGGTAATCAAGAACCATATCAAAAATATCGGATGTGCATGGTTTAGCTGATGTGCTACAGTCTCAAGCATTTCCCCAGTTCCAGGAAGGTCACCCAAATCCGGACGACAAACAAACTGGTGAGAAAATTACTATAAGGCCCCGTGATTCAAAAACAGGGACTTAGATTTCTCCCGGGGACCAACACATCTTCCCCGGAAGAAGAGGTCTTTGAACGAGAAAACCAAAAAAAAACATCTCAAGGATCTTCCCTTCAAATACCCCCGAAGTAGGAGGTACTTGGAGGTGTAGGGCATTCCAACATTCCATCCCTGGCCTATTTGATTGCCTTCGTTGGAGCCCTAGGGCCCTAGGGCAATGGGAACTGGTTGAACCAGATCCACTGGGCTCCATCCTCCTGGGCCCCAGGCTTGGCCCCGGGCCAACTGAGGCTCTGGACGCGGTTGCCCTTCTGAACATGCAGCCAATATCAAGTTCGGTCACTTTGAAAAACCAGGTCTTCTCTGGTTCTTCACCCCCGACTCCCCCGCCCTCCGGCTTCGTCGCCCGAGGCACATCACCTGGGCGGTGCGCTCCAGCTCCGCAGCACCGACGCCTGGACGCGACGGTGGAAACGACCCGAGGCGGGCTTCGTGGGGTGAAGAAGGAATGGAGATGAAGGGGTGTTCCAAACGAACGAAAGGGGGTCCAAACGTAGGGTCCATCTAGTAGGGTGGAAGGATGAAGGTGTAGGGTTTATGTTGGGGGGAATCTCGAGTCTCAGAGCATGAAGAACAACCACCCACGCGAAAACAACGAAGTCACAGATCCAGGGGACCAGGTGAAGAGGGAGGACCAAGGGGACCAAGGTGATAGCGGATAGCCCATGCCCTAGCATACTGGCACAGATCAATACCGGCAGGAAAAAGAACAACATATTCCTGAGACCTTCCACTTGGGAATGTAAATGGATGTCAATGAAAGTCCACGGTTTTTGGGGGGAGATTGAGAAGCAGGAAGGCTTCCTGGAATCCTTCCTGGACAACGTAACTGTTCAAGGAGAAGGTGCTGAGAGAGGTCATTTCTTGGCCAGGAAGGTTCAGAAGCAGGGCAGGGATTGGCTCACCATGATACAAGGGACGCACGCCGCATCGCCCAAGGATCACCTGAGCCAGCTTCACCATGATGCAAGCACAGCACTCCAGTTGTGACCACCCGAAACGACATGGTGGAGAAGGATGGTCGTGGTAGGTACAAGAAAACCGACATGAACGGTATGATTTGGCATCGTTCTGTATACAACCGTTTCATCGCCTCTTTGTGATCATTTTTCTGGCCTACCATAAGGTACCATCCCCCGATACCTCTACTGGGAAATTATTCCATGCAGAACCAATTATTCCAGCAACTCGCGGTACCCCCTGAAATAAGTTCCCAAGGTATGGGCTATGTTTGCGGTATAACAATTTCCCGGTCATATGAAGGCTAAATGGAGGGTGTGTGGAGAAAGGGGGTCAGCAAAAATCACTTATACGAAGTTAGTGCATCAAAAATACCTTCCACGAAGTTCTGCGAAGGTTTCTGGAATTTCGTTGCAGTCAGTTCTCCTACTGGCCCACCATTCCACGAACTGTCCACGAATAGCCTTGGGTTCTACGAATGTCCCACGCCTTCCACGATGTTAGTAGAATAGGTTTTTGCAAAACCCTTTCTGGGCACTACCTTTCCGTTTGCCTCTGATCATAGGTCCCAAAGCATCTCACCATCTAACCCAAGCTGTGATGCAGTTTTTCAGGTGCACGTTTTAATCTCTACACACACTGTTTTGAACAACACCTCCACCCACTTCGCGCCTGCAGTCTTGAGGAACTCCCCCACTGAAGTCATCCAGTCCGCGCAAGGGAACGCATAGGCCGTCCGCGGATCCTGTGCCCGTCCGTGCGAAACCAACACCGACATGCGGACTGGGTCGTCCGCCGGTTGGGCGCCTCGGATAACGCAAAAAAAATCGAGTTCTCGAGTTCATGTGCCGCCGATGTGCCGCGAGATACGACACGCCAGCAAAATCTGCAAAGCAAATAGAATCGACACTTGCTACACGTTTTGTACAACCACTTGGCTGCATCAGCGGCTTTGTGTGCAAACAAGGTGCCAGCATTGTCAAGGACCCGCAACTATTGAACACATTGACTGGTGGGATTAGTGACTGGTGGGAGTGCTGGACTTGTTGTTGCATATATAGATTCTAGGATAGCAGGAAGCTATCATGCGCATCAATATGGAAAACCGTTTTAAACCATGACAACTCTGGCACCGGCCATCGTCGCAGTGGAACAAAATTCCTCAGCATGGATGGTGATGCTTGCCCATAGTTTTCCACAGTTATAGCATAGCGCCAAATAGCGTTCGATAGCCCCCCGCTTTTTTCATCACTGATGGACAGCACGCTGACCTAACATGGCATGTATACTCTTGGGAAGGTGGGGCCGTAAGTGGCCTCGAATTTTGTGGGGAAGGGAAGCAATTTCGACACCGGCAAAAAGTGTCAAGGCTTCGTCGTCCCATGATACACTGATATGATATATATATATATACACACCCTAGGATAAAACAGTCGTCGCATCTGTCAAACACACTTGAGAGAGGAGGGGGTGAAAGAAAGGTAGCAGGCAATCACAAGTAACCCTGGTAGAAGTCCATGACAGCGTGAACCGGCGCAGGGGGGATTTGATCCAGGGAGGGCCCCCCCCACCAAACAGAATCAACTCTTACAGGACCAAACTCAATGCACAATCCCAACTCCTGATTGTAATACATTTTTGCTAAAGCAAGGAGAACTCAGGTAGCTCAAGCTACCTTTCGTGATTTGTGTGCAAACATGTGCAAACGCAAAAAAGGTTGTCTTAACAGGGTTTCTTCACGAGAAGCCCTCTTCAACATGGTCGCGCTTCAGCCACCCGTGTGCAGCTGCTGCATGCTTAAGCCACATCGAACCCACAAGCAGAATAAGCTTTAGACATGCTGAAGCTAGTGGACCGAGCGCATCATGAGCAATCTTGGAGCAGTCGTTCCGCTCTTCCAACTCGCGAGCGTCGACTGTCATTGCATGTGTCGAAGATCGCGACATGTCATGCATCGGCTGGCGTGGAACGAAGTAGAAGATCTCTGCTGCTTTCGCAGTCTTTTGAGTGGTGTAAATATGGCCGAAATCGGTCACGCATAGGGATTGGGATGATGCGGGAGGTTGCAAACAAACCAAACGCACATCATTAGATGAAGCGACCCTATAGGATTACAATCCGAAAATTTCGATCTGCGATCAATCGCGAGTTAGGCCCTGTGACTGGCGGATGGCCATGGCCGGCTATGGCAATAGGCCGGGGCTTTGGATGAGAAGATATACAGACATGAACAAACGTGCCAACTCATCGCATGAGATCTGTGGGGGCACCACTTCTTCTCCAGCCCACTGCTTCTCCAACCCACTTTTGCGGTATTTTTTCAACACTCGCAAGCAAACTGAGTCTGTAGAACGAATGGCACCTGGCAGAAAAGAGTGTAACTTTTTTCTGCAGACTCGGAACGGATTTGGATGGTTCAACGACATGTTGCCCACATCATTTTTTCGACATCCAGCATGGACTCAGTCTGGTGAGTGGATTCTGTGCGATGTTCTCGAGCATTCTTCCCTTCTCCAATATACCCTAGGGCTCCAACCATATCCTCAGAAGGTGGTTAGACCCCACTGGCACCCACCCCAACCATCTCTTCAGGAGGTGGTTGGAACCCTAGGGATACATGAAAGGCACCCACTGAGGCACCGTCAGTGCGAAAAGGGATAGCTCTGAGCACTGCCTCGGTGCGTGCCTGTGATTTGGGGGACATGCCCCTTACCCAAACGCTCCATGGGATTGGTATATATGCCGATCAGTTGGGGTGGTGCCAGAGGGGCCAATGTAGGCATATATGGCAGTCCCATGCAGCGTCTGGGTTAAAGCAAGGCTCTTCGTCACTGCTTCCCTTGGCGCCTTCTGGCCATGGACGATCCGCATGTCCGTTGGTGCGAGGCTGGAGGAAGAAGGGAGGCCGAACACTCACGGCTGGATGGGACGACGTCACCACTCCTGTGTGACTCCTGGAAGTTGCCCTATAGGAATCCGGGCCCGAAGCAGATAGGGTTTGAGGCCGACCCCTGCCATGGAGAGTCCACCTGGGACAGCAGATTCTTAGGGTGGGAGAAAAACACCTCCTCTGGGCCGAACCTTCGGCCCTCTTGGACGTGGAAACAACACCGACATGCGAAAACGCCACGTGCAGTTCTGAAGCAAGTGACGTCTCGAGCTCAATGAATGAACAAGTCAGATGATGCAAGTTGAGGGACAAGTTGAGGGACATAAAGTATAACTAGAACGTCCCAGTGACCGAACTTGATCCCCTGGTTGGTATGCTTGGTCACCCACAGGCTTGGTGACAAAGGTCACAGTCAGTCACCAACACCAAGGAGCTAGGTCACCGGGAAGATCCTGGTATGACAGATCTGCACTGGTTGGGTTAGATATATATATATATATATATACCCTACAAGTCCAAAGACCCAGTAAAATGTGGTCTTTTACCTCCTTAAGTATTGGTTTTGCATGACCATCTCCAGTAAAATGAGGACTTTGAATTGTAGGGTATATAATGGTATATATAGAATTTGTATGAGACGGAACTCGAATACATCCAATTCACCAAATAGCTCAAGTCAGGGCATGTCAGGGCCCAACAAGGCCGGAGCTCTTCTCCGAACCTGCCTAAGGCCGCAGGAGCGGGAAATAACAATGAGGCTGCACCGAGTGATCCCAAATGATTGCTGACTAATATATATATATATTATATGTATATTTATATAATATATATATATATATATCTACTAATTATCTGGAGTCTCAGTTCGTAAGTTGGAAAGTGGAGTCTCAGTTCCCGCCAAGGTCATGTCATGCCCCATGTTCCACGCTACTTGAAGTCGGGTTCAGGTACATGTCTCAACTCCGGGGGGCAGTCATCCAGTCTCACCTCCTTCAAAACCGGGGCCCTGCCATGCCCTGCTCCGACCATTTTAGGCAGGAACATCCTGGACGACTCCGAAGCATTGAACAAACACTCGCGCTTCCGAACATTGGCACATCCAAAACTTGGAATTGCTTAAGGAACCTGGAAGAAATATTCCCCAGAAGGGAATTTGATGTGGGAAAATAAACTGCAAAAACACCAAAAACCAGCAAAATAGGATCACATCCTCATGCACAACTCAAGCGCGCGATGATCGATCTATATCACATCTGCGTCTGGACCCACCGCGGGAGTCAGTGCGAAACAGGAGGAACAATACCCAAACACTCCATGGGACTGCCATATATTTGGGAGGGTTTTGGGGGGTCAAGGCACAATAAGGCACATATATATGGTATACATGGAGCGTCTGGGATATGTAAAGGTTCAAACCGGTAAACCATGCATCGCTTTGACCGAACATGCGGGTCGACCGAGCCAAATCCCATCAGGGCTTCAGGTTTTGACCCATGGGGGCTGGAACATCCGTACTCCATGGGGCTGGAACATCCTCCGGCCTATATACATTGACCCCAGGTCAACGACGCTTAATGTGTAGAATGGCGTAATACACATACCATACATGTGCATGGAGTGTCTAATAGGGAAGTCGCCCTCATCACGGGCTCGCTCGGGCGAGCCCCAGGTCAACGCCCCATGGAATCAGTCCTTCTCGATCCGTTTGCAGCTCGAGGCTGTCGGTTTGGCGCCATTCCTGGGTTGATCCAAGTCCCAAACATTGACCCCCCTGGCACCACCCCTGGCCTGGTCGGCAGTCCACAGCTCGAGTGAGGGACCGGATCCACTTGGGTGATCGTACCGGGCGGACTTCGACCCAGGGTGCGACCGGACTCGGTCCAGGTGTCCTTCTGAGGTTGGGTCCATGGGAATTTGACCAAATAGAATTCTTAGAAGTGCCAAGGTGTGAAGAAGGCGGACCCATGTCATGTGAGGCTTCTTCGCCCAAGCATCAACCCGTCAAACACAGGGCTCCAAGCCGAGCTCAAACCCCGCCGAGTTGGGGGCTCCCCGTCTATACAGATCACTGGCAGCAAGTCACGGTCCAAGACCAACGAAAAACGGGTGGAAAGCAACGGGCGAACCGTCACGTCGTACCCGTTCGACCGAAGATGTGCTGGTTGCGAGTGGACTTCGGCCGGTCACGGCCGGTGGACTTCGGTCGCGAGTCGACCGACTTCGACTCGCGACCTCAAGGTCGTTCGGTGGACGTCCGACCAGTCGGGAAGAGTGAAGAAGCTGGGAGATCTTTTTGAAGCAATGATTTTGAAGGTGACTTTTTGAAGTAAGATGATTTTGCTGCAACTTCCTAAAGCTGGAGCCCCAAAATTCAGCCGAAGGAGCACTTCAATGAAGGCAAAATGGCCATGCTTCGCTGTACGGCCAACCGTCGCACAACTTCCAAGTGGCCCATACTTACTGGCTGCAATGAGCAAAGCCGTATCACCATCTGTATCTGCTGATGTCTGCTCCATCTTGGTCAGCTCCAGCCTCGAGCAACAATCGCACAACTCTTGGCTGTTCGTCCTGGGCTGCAATGTGCAAAGCGGTTGATCCATTGTTCGTTGCCGCATCTTTGTCAGCTCCAGCCTCCAGCAACACTCGCACAACTTCCAAGTGGCCTTCCTGAGCTGCAATGTGCAAAGCCGTCCAGGCGTCTGTGTCTGCTGCATCTTTGTGAGCTCCATTCTCGAGCAACAAGCGCACAACTTCCAAGTGGCCTTTACAGGCTGCAATGTGCAAAGCCGTTGAAACATCAAAATTTGCTGCATCTTTGTCAGCTCCAGCCTCGAGCAATGACAGCACAATTTCCACGCGGCCACCCTCGGCTGCAATGTATAAAGCCGTCACCCCATAAGCCGTTGCTGCATCTTTGTCAGCTCCAGCCTCGAGAAGCAATCGCACAACTTGCACGTGGCCATTCCGAGCTGCAATGTGCAAAGCGGTTGAACCATTTTTCGTTGCCGCATCTTTATCAGCTCCAGCCTCGAGCAACAATTGCACAACTTCCAAGTGGCCTTCGTCGGCAGCAAAGTGCAAAGCCGTATTACCAACAATTGAATTTGCTGCATCTTTGTCAACTCCAGCCTCGAGCAACAATCGTACAACTTCCAAGTAGCCACTCTCGGCTGCAAAGTGCAAAGTACAAACTGAACCGCGCCCGTTTGGGTCCATTGGCTTTTGAAGAAGCCTTTCAATCTCAGCCACATTATTCGCCTCGCAGCTTAAGGTCAGTTCTTCTTCCATGGTCTCATCACGGGCACACAAGGGCAGAACTACCAGCTGGACACTTGACAGTGTTCGTAGAGCCAAGTCATCCTCCAATTCTCCAAGCTCATCACTGAAGAGTCTTTGCTGAAACCTTGAGCACCCAACCTGAGCTGAAAGACGTCGCTTGAGGTCTCGAACAGATTGCCCGCATTCCACCATGTAATGCAGCTCATCCTCATCAAGCTGAGCAACCGTGTTGCCAGACACAGCCGTCACCTGCATTGCAGCGCCTTCAGAATTGACAGGTGTAGGCTTGAGCCACGGTCAACATCAAGGGCCACTCTAGCAATCCAAAACAATTTAGTACATGGTCCTTAGGTGACCCGAAGAAGAATCTCCTCTGCTTCAGTAAGCAAAAAATAATTTGACTTCTTTCGGGGTGTCTTTTAACAAAAAGCTTCTCCCTTCTCTGCCCAGCCTTTCGGGGAACAGTACGAGATCGCTGTTGTTTGATGTGAGGGAACGAAACAATCGCCCTGCCCGCTACCATCCCCGATAGCCAGGCTCTGGGAACCTGCAGAATCCCAGTCCAAACGTCAATGGTTCCAAGCTCAAGGAGGGTGGAGGTGAAGTGTGAGAATTCCGGTGCTTTCTCAGAGACAAGGAGGGTGGAGGAGGGTGGAGGGTGGAGGTTATTCCGCCAAAACATGGTTTTTCATCATAGAGATGTTCGGGAAAATGCAAGTTTCAGAGACCAATTCCAGAAAGTACCATAAATACATCACCGGAAAATGCTCTTTCAGAGACCAGATCCAATCCGGGCCAGGGGTGTCTATTGATAGCCCCTTAGAGGTTAAGGGGTGTCCATGAACCACCCCTTGTGGGTCCTAGAATCTATTATATTCCCTAGGGCTCCAACCATAATTATCCTCAGAAGGTGGTTAGACCCCCCTGGCACCCACCCCAACCATCTTCTCAGGAGGTGGTTCGAGCCCACACAACTATCAAGCACAACATCTCGGGGGTCGGGCTCTGCCGCTCGGCGCCGTCGGTTTGGGCGTCCGATCTTCGACTCGACTCGACTCGACTCAAGCGACTCCCTCCGTCCGCTCCCAGTCGCTGCTCCGGAAGTTCCATGGGTCCCTGGTGCCTCCCTGGTGCCTTGCAGGCTGTCCAATTGATCCTTTCCTGCCTCCCTGGTGCCTCCCAAGCTGTCGAAATGGTTCTATCCTACCTCCGCTCCCAGTCGCAGCTCGGGGTGCCCAGAACATCCACTCACTGGATGGGACCCAACAGCACCCCGGGCCCGAACGTGACTTCTAGAATGGCAGGTGTGTCTTTCAGAGGTGGCGTCCGAACCATGTTGATGCCATCTCCCAAACGCTCCATGGGACTGGAATATATGCCGATCAGTTGGAGTGGCGCCAGGGTCTGTCTGGGGCGGCAGTCCTATGGCAGTCCCATGGATCGTCGTGTCTGGGTCTGGAGTGTATGGAATCCTTCGTTCTCCAAGTTCCTTATCCGCTTTCTTCGGGTGATGGCAGTAATTCCACCAAGTCTCGCTCCCTTGCCTGCCAGCTGATACTCCACCCGGTCACCTGAATTCGCCACACTCTGCTTCGGCAGCGAAGCTCGCGCGAAGCCGCGCAAACATCCGTAAAGCATCCGAACATCGGCGCAACGGTTCAGCGGTTCAGCCACCGAAACGGCGAGGTTTCGGTGAACGTTTCACGTTCGGTGCAAATCGGCGAAGGGTTGCCTTGGGAGTCCGATCAAACAGCTGCTTCATGTCAGCCAACACAAGGTCTGTGCACCGAATGTTATGGACCCTACACCTCCAGTCTCATGGCTCTCTCTCTCCCTCTCTCTCTGGATATGAGGCGCTCCGCGAATCATTGGAAGATGTGGAGGCCCAGGCACCAGCAGTTGTTGGACTAGGGTGGACAAACATGACCAGCCTTCTCTTGTTACTGAGTAGGGCTTTTGTTGGCGCATGTTCGACCGGCAACAAAGGATTTTGGAGGAAACCATTCGTGTAGACTCCAGGTGCAGCCTCCCCATGATTTCAAACAACATGCTTGGCGCCAGGGTTTGCCCCACTGCACAGGTAACTCCACATGATTTTGGGCCAGATCGGTAGGGGACGAGATGTGGATTCTTCATCAGTTGCTTGGATGCTTGCCCCAAAGGCAGGACCCGCACCCCTGGCACTTGGACCTGCACCCCCAAAAAAAAAGATCAAAAAGGAAAAAAAACCTGGAAAAACCGTAGGAACAAGAACGCCACATCGGGGTGCTCCTGGCGGTCCCCTGGGAACGGCAGGTATGGTCGGTAGGTCCATTCATCGCCCCCTCGCCGTGGACCCGAGCGCCTGCCGCCAAGGCCGTGGCGTCCCTCAAGACCGAGCCGTGCACGAAGACATCCTCACCACCACCTCGAGTCGGACCGGGTCCTCCACCTTCCGCCCGGGATGGATGCCGAGAAACCATGGGTTTCTCCGGAGGTCATGGCCCCTGCGAGATGAAGAACGAGAGATGTTATAGAAGCAAAGCTCATGTCAAGATTAGATACGCAACGGGGATGATTTGATAGCCTTGACATCCCAAACCACCATGCTCAGTATCAGGATTGGACCCTCCAAAACCAGGAAGTCACTTCGCATTTAGCAGTTTTTGTGGTTCTGGTCTTCCCGGAAGGCCAGCTGGACGGGTGGGTGCCAGGCCAGCTTCCTCATGCTCAGTCAGTGGGGCCTTGAACTGATTCGGGGCGTCCATGCAATGATCTCGCCTCATGGAAGCCTTGAAGGCACTGCGGGTGGTGCAGTGCTCCTTTTTTGGGGGTGGATACCAACAGAGGTGAAGTGACCGTAAATAGGACCCTACCAGGGTACCGGTTCCTGGGATAGCCGAACTAGGGTTCTTGAACCTCTCTTGGTATACCCAAGGGGCGCTTCTTAAGATTCAAACTTTCGTAGGCGTCCCCCAAAATCCTCCGAAGATCGGAAGTTGATTCTTCTACCAACTCCTTGAAAGGGATCACCTGTCTGGTTTCGCCCCTACACCACGATCAGAGACCACGATCCAGGACACCGCGAAAGAAGGTCCAGGTACCAAGTCCTGACTGGATAAAGCTTGGACTTCAGCAAGTCCTGCAACTCCATGGTCCTTGGACTCTTTCAGACCTGTGGATGCCATTGACCCCCATGGCACCACCCGTGGCCGTTTCTCGGCAGTCCGTCCTGGTTTTGCGGGTTTCTGGGGTCGCTGTGTCGATGGAGTTCCCTGTGCGGGTCCATGCCGGAACTGTGTTTAAAGGCCTGTGAAAAAGGCACGTGTAGTAACACGATGTAACACGTATTGGCCAGGATCCTGGCGATTCACATGGATGGACCCAGTGCCAAGAATGGGGGAAGAAAACACCCTCACCCTTTATGGCAAATCATCGCAGAAACCAGTTTGGGTGAGTCCCACCTTGTTCCGTTCCCCGTGGGTGAAGCTCCGGGGCCGGACGGGCGCATCGGACCCGCCTTCGGGCTGTAGGAAGCCAAAATTCCGATGCACCAGCCATTTGGTCACATAGCCTCCACTCGCAGGTTCACCCAGCCCACTCCACACCGGACCTGGGTGGTGGCTATGGACATCTACTAAGTAGAGTAGTCCAGCCAGGACATCCATGGGACACACCAAGTCAACCCCCCCAACGTAGGTACCAAACGCCAGTTCCAAACAGGTCGTTTCTGCTCTTGAGAAGAACAGATTTCTCCTCCGGATGAAGAAGACCATGTGGTGCTGACTTGGCCAAACTCAACATTTGAAACTGGTTGATGAATATGTTCCTCAATCGGGCGGGGTTTTAATTAGTTCGAAGTTCGAAGATTATGAAATCGCAATTTATCGCAATTTGACAAGCATAACAAGGGATCCAACATGTGTCCAAACCTGTACACTGTATAGTTCAATTGACCCCTCCAAATCAATCCCAAATTCTCCAAAACGGTTGAAGCTTGGCCTTTCGACGGACCTTTCCGCCCTGAAAGATCAGGGCCTCTCTGCATGGCCAACTTTCACGCCATGGCGGGTTCCGCGACGAGCTCGCTGCTGGAAGCCGGAAGTGGGACGCTGGAGGCTGTGGGGCTGAGAAATCGGAGACTGCCGGAGGCAGTCGACGGCCTTGGGGGACGGTCGGCCCCGTTTCGTTCTCGTACCGCACCCGAGAAGAGCCGGGAACTGGAAGTGTTCTGGTGGGCAGCGTCTGTTTCAGTATGTTTTCAGGTAGCAGCTTCTGGTTTAGTGGGCAGTTCTGTTGGCAGTGCAGGTTTTCAAAAGGGCGCAAACTGGTTGGTGATTGCAAACTGGTGGTAGTATCGCAGTCACTCATTCCGACCGAAGGCTATTGAGATGGCTAGCCTCAGTGTGTGTTGAAGCAGTTAGGCAACTCAATGGAATGTCCTAGCCTTCCTGGTGGCCCACGACCTGACTGGAATCTGCTCGTTTTGCCGAAAAATCGAGCCAGCTGCGAGGGCAACGTTTTGCTTCATAAACACCCCTGACTATGCACGTTCCTTTCAACTCACACCCTTTCTGTGGTGCTGGGCCAGAGTCTGTTCTGGGTTCTGGGACACGGTTTTCTTTGACAGCTTCCTTCGTAAAAATCCTGTTCAGCAACAGTGCCAGGTGTTACAATCACGATTGGTTACTCGGCAATCCCTAGGGCTCCAACCAACTCTTGAGAAGGTGGTTGGGGTGGGTTTGAGGGGTCTAGCCACCTTCTGAGGATATGGTTGGAGGTGTAGGGAATAATATCCCGCAGTAGGAAGAACCGAAAACTACGACCACCGTCATCTTGCTTTTGGTGGCTGCCTGTTGGCTGGATAATTTTCCCCTAGATCATCTAGACCTCTAGGAAGCATTAGTTGACTGTCAAGTACACGACGATTGAAGAACAACATCCACCAGGTGCAGTTTATCTGCATCTTGATTCAAGTAGAGATGGCTACCCCGTGCGTGAGCTTCAAAGCGGGGAAGCGTTCAGAGTGTTTCTTCATTAAAATCAGCCGCTGGTTTCTTCAGAGCAGGCTCCAGTAAATGAAAAGTACACGACAAGTAAGTAAGAAGAAAGAAACACCTCATCAAAGATCCTCAACAACATATCCAAAAAGGATTCAATCCAATCCTCATCTTGGATTTTCTTAACGAACCTGGACGAATAAAATATATTCACCAGAAGGGGATTTAAGCATAAGGGAAAAACAACACCTTAAGCAAAAAGAGGTCATCCAAGCTCCTCTTCTGTGGCGACGCAGTGTTCTCTTAAGGATCGACGCCGTGGCGTGCGATCGAGCGACCAAATACCATCCCTTTTCGATCACGTGGAGTCATTAGCGAGGCATCACGGTGGTGGGTCACCGGATTATTGTTGGCCTTAGAACATTGACTGAGTGTGCTCCTCACTTCGTCTGAAAAAACTGAAGGACACCCAGCACGCCCCAAGAAACGATGAACCCCGCGCCCCCCAAAAATACCCCTGCAAGTTAAAGACCTCATTTTACTGGAGATGGTCATGCAAAACCAATACTGAAGGAGGTAAAAGACCAGGTTTTACTGGGTCGTGGGACTTGTAGGGTACAAAAAGAGAAAACCGCTGAAGCTCGGAAGTGGTCCACACCGGCCCAAGTCAAATGGGTGCGCGGGACGCTTGGATGAACTCCTCCTTTTCCTGCCAGCGAAAAAACATGCTCAAAGCAGTGGAACTCTGCCATCGACTAATTGACATGGAGATGACGAGATAGGATGAGATAACAATGGAGATCTCGGTGGCATCCCCGTATGCCCCTTCACTCGCCATCGGCGCCGCGAGCGGGAAACAAGGACGCAAAACGGAAACAATCACAGTAGGTTTGAATGAATCATAGCTTCATTCTTGGGCCCCAGGTCTCAATGGTGACCTGGCAGTGAAAATGCTGGTATAGCAGGTCTTTGCAGGCTATAGTTTTAAACGGATATCATTCCGAAAGACCTGTTCAACGAGTGGATGACCAACAACAAATTAGTGCCCTGGCAGCCATGTCGCTTAAGCCAAGGAAACCTGAATGAGAAAGTCTTGTCAGCAGGTGGACCATTGGATTTCTATTGATAGCTGGCACTACACCATCAAATAACAGCTCCTTCTTCAGCCCCCCCCAGTGTGGACAGCCAGTCCTTAACGGCCTTAACGGCCGCCGGAGCCTGAGGTAGTGCCAACGCCAGTAGTAGCAGTAGTAGCAGGAGTACTAGGCGTCGTTGTGGTAGTGGTAGCGGTAGTGGTGGTAGTAGTAGCAGTTGTGGAGTCAATTATAATATATTAGTATGTAGGTCAAAGCAGCGACTGCTGATTCAGCTGTTGATGAAAGAGTTCTGGCACCCCATCCTGACATATACAGTAACAAAACCACAGGAAGTGCAGTTGCTTGGTGACTTTTGGGGTGCAAACAAATCTGTCTGGTGCGTACTGAGATTGGACCTGCCGTGTTGTGCAATTCGTTGTGGGACACGTACTTGACGAGCCAACTTTCAGGATCCAACGATGTGAAAAGGAGGAAACAGTTACACTAGGAGGCTCCCTATTCACAAACGCTCAGAAAAGCTATATAGCTAATATTCGCTACGGAACATACATTTACTAAAACAACAACAACAACAACAACAACAACAACAACAACAACAACAACAAGCACCAACAAACAACAAACAACAACCAACAACAACCAACAACCAACTACCAACAACAACCAACAACAAGCATACAACAAGCAACAACAACCAACAAACCAACAACAACAACAACAACAACAACAACAACAACAACAACAGCAACAACAACAACAACAACAACACCGACGCATTCTCTTCCCTATAAAAACCGGTCGCTTCTTCCAACAAACGATAGCGACATCTATGCGCAAACAAGGTCGAACCAGATTTCTGGCAAGGAAGTCATGGATTCGGATCAATACACTATCAACCTCATGGGCGATGTTCACTGGGCGTCTGCGGGGCCACGTGTCTTAGTTTTCAACCCAAGTTTGTTTCTTCAACCCAAGTTGTTTTCTGCGGTACATTTTTCGATGAACATGATAATGTTCAATTATTTTTAGGCATCTCTGTTTACTTGAAGTCTCACAACGATCTCTGCGGGGGTGCTCTTCCACGTCGGAAGAGAAAACAAACAATCACCTCTGAAATACGTGAGTCATCAAAACATCACAAAACACACCAGCACCCTCAGCACCTGCCAGTCCCGCAATTGAGACGTGGTCTCTTTTTTTCCCGTCTCCCTCTTTCAGGTCTCCTGAAGGTGCTGAAGCGAGGGTACTAATTTAGGGCTCCTGTCCCATCTCCTCAGCTTCGGTGCCTAGACCATGTTAAACCCCCCTGGCACCCACCCCGGTCACCACAGTCTACCCCGCACTCAGGAAACCGGCTGGCTCGCCCCCGCGCGCTGGGCCGCCCGGCCATGGGGCGATCCGATGACTCCGCGGAAGAAGCAGTTCCGCTCGGTGGTCGTGCGAGTCTGGTTGGTTTGATAGCCATAGTCTGACTGGTGCGACGAAAGCAGGGTGGCTGAGGGTGGCTGGATCCAATAGAATCTCTATTGGGGGCGAAACTTCCCTTATTCCCTACTAAGCACCAGTCAGTAGTTGTTCTTCACCTTTCGCATGATTTGTATGTCCAATTGTTGCTGCAGGACGAATTGTGCTGCATGACGAAGCCATGCATTTTGTCTGGAGCCAGGCAGGTCAGTAGGCAGCGTGTGGCGTGTGGCATGTGGCTTCCAGCCACCCAAAATTGCCAGTTTCGTGTCTCAAGCACCACCGGTGTGCGACTGCAAGACATATATCCCATCTCATGGGACCCTGGGTCCATCAATCACCTGCCGTTTCGTTTCGAACGGCAGTCCGACATGGCAGTCCAGTTGGTGTCTCGGTATTACTATTGGCTATCAAATCCAAATCATGGATCCACATACCGAACCTGAGGTATGGTGATGTGTTCGACACTGTTAAGTTGTGTAGGCTCGGAGGGTCCAAGTACCTTCTGAGAAGGTATTTAGTATGCATGTGGATCCATCATCAGGGAAAAATCATTCAAGTCTCGTGGCTGGTGAGTAGCTCCGTCAAAAAATTAACACCAATGATTCAAATGGCACGCAACATCGATGGCACAGCATCTTCACCACCATTTAAGACTACCTGGACCCGACTTCAAGTACCCTAGAAATTTGGACATGATCATGGCACGATCCCATTTAAAAACAATAACAGGTACTTGTACCCATTGTCCGATGTACTTTGAGACTCCAGGTGCATTATATAAATGATTTGCCGTGGCTGGGACGAGTTGCGGATCAAATCCGGTTCGATCAGCTCGATCAGCAGCTGCTTCCGGCAGCCAAACTGTCTAAAAGAACGAAGCTCGAAAACGACAGGTGCTGTGGATATGTTTGATGTGCGAAGGAAGAGTAGTCCCTCAACCCGCCCACGAGCTTTCATGAGGGCTGGATGTGTTTGAGGAAAAGGATTCGGATTGCTCACTTCTGTTCCATTCGCCACCCGCAAGTCCTTTCTAGAACGCACCCCTTCCACCACCCATCTTTTCTTCACAGCATCTGTCATTGACCTCACAAGTCCATAAGCCTACAAAGTCGCTGTCTTCAGTGACCCATCATGACGGACCTCATGGCGTTTCCTGGCTCGGGGAAAAACACTTCACCAAGCTGAGTACAGCACGACCTCGCCGACCTCACCGGTCACCTGGCAAAGGTCCAGGCAACACCATCTAAATTTTGCTGCTCCACCCCAGGGAAACCGGTTTCGGGCATCCAACGGGCATCCGAAGTGGAAACAAAGGTGGTTGGAGGAAGGGTCCCTCCCTTTCCCGCGTGTGAGTTGGATGAAATCCAGTGTTTTCTGGTGATCCACCCTAGAACTTGGTAAAACACCTGATCTTCCTGGGGTGCCAAAAGATTGGTCTGGATGTCCCTGTCAAAACAAAGGTCAAAAAAAGTTCTGGGCAGTTGATTCCATCGGATTCCTTTCCTACTATAGTATTATACGGTTCCAGTCGCACCTCCGAAGATAATTACTTGGACCTTCCTGGCATTTCCCCAAAAAACCGTCGCTGACTCGCTACGTTGACATGGTCTGACGATGACGCCAGGTGGCTGATAGGTTCACCGAGGCGCCGACTCACTCGATGCTCCTACACGAAGAAAGCGCAAGCTTTGGCGCTCGTCAAATGCTCCGGGGGGCATTCTGCTGTCTCAGCCTCCACTCAGGGCAAATGACTCCAGACCACTCCATCCTCACCTGTGTGACTGGGCAAAACCACGCAACTGCGCGCCTTCACCCCTCGGAACGACTCCAGTGCCCCTGTTGGAGTCTTTTCCGACCCCGGTCTGACCGCGGTGAAGGCGGGGGTAGCACCTCATGGTCCGGCCTTGGTGCGGGAGGCGGAGCAAGTCAAGCGGTACTTCCATGATGAAACACCCAGAGCTACTGGTTGAGGAATAGCTGGTGCTACCATGGCGGTGGTGCTTGCAAATGAGTTGTAAAGATCGTTTCAACGACCTAGACCCTCCAAAGTACCTTGGAAAATGGGACATGACCCCATTAAAAAAACAAAACACACACACACAGGTACGACTGTACCCATTTTCCAAGGTACGAAGGGGTCGACTCCAGGTAGTTCATTGTGCTCCAATTCAGGCACCCCAGCGGCCCAGCATCAATAGTTCAACCAATTCAGCTGCGGTAGCTTTCACCGGCGAAAGGATCACGGACAGGTCGAGGTCGACCACCCCAGCTGAAGGCCGGAGGTGAAGCTGGTCGACAATATGCCTGTCCCGTGTCTTGCCCAGTGAATGAGGCAGCCGTCTATACCAAGGAACCAGGGTCTCTAGGTTTGTGGTGTGGAACTCTCTCAACTCTTCCAAAACCCAGGTCTGAAGTCGTGCCCGCAAGCCACGCTCGGTTGGTCTCCCTTGCCGCGCTCACGCCGCACCCGCGGGCCGCGCTCACGGCCGCGCCCTTTTCGGACGTGGTCCACGTCTGTGCCACGGGCATCACCGGACCTGGCGGCTGTGGGGTCCGGGGTCCAAACAGCAAAGGTCGCCTACATGACTGGGGGTGCTTTTAGATCAATGAGGTCGAGTTCTGGGGAAGGGGTTGCATTGGTGAGGGGGTTGCAACGGGCAGGAGTGGGGAAGACTTGGGTGTCCTAGATGGTTCCAAAAGTCTCTATGTGCTGACGGGCGGTTTGGTGGTACAAATGGATACCCAACTTAATTCACAAGGCTTCAAAGGTTGCAAGGTTCTGGCTCACATCCTGCCATAGTGTCGGATCACTTTGAAACTTACCATGTCTCCCACCAATATTCTCCTCGCTTTGAGTGTAACTCCAACCATGTCCTCGATATACAATCAGCTCAAGTTCAATATTGGCTCTACTATCAATACCTAGAACCTGAATGGCCTCGATGTTGGACCACCAACCATCCAAAATAAGATGTTCCTTTCCAAAGCAAATGTCAAACGGGTTCCAGGTATATACCCGCCAACACCCTGCAACTGTTTCATGCCCAAGCAACTCATACCGCCAGGTGCCGCCTTGCTGCTTCTGCTGGGCTGGTCAAAAAGGAACCCTGAACTGGTTGATGATGTAGACCATACCGCAACAAATGAACTGATCAGGGATAAACCATTCCCCAGCCCAAAAGCATTGGACATAACTGCCAATTCCAAGTCCGTACCGATTCATCCAGGGTGGGCTAGCCAAGCTCATCTGAAAATTCACCAGATGTTGGTGCAACAACTTCTTATTACTCTCAAGGACCTCGTGGCGACCGCTATATAGACCCCAAACACGAGAACGCGGGACAAGAAGGCCTAAGCAGGCACGGACAGGACAAAGACGCCTGAAAACCCGTAGGATAAAGGACAGAACTATATACAGGTACAAAAAATCTACCCAAAAAGAAGTTCTACCCTAAGAATCCGGGCCCGAACACCAATAGGAAGAGTTTTCGGGTTCGACATGGTTCGACGCTTGCCATGGAGGCCCGTGCAGTCGCTGCTCGCAGGGGAAAAGGCCCAAACATGCGGGAAGCGCGGACACCAACCAACTTTACCAACCAACAAGCTACCACCCGAACCATTCTGAGCCAACATTTAGCATGCAAAAGCAATAATAGCAGTTTAAAAAAGCATAGAACATATCACCCTTTCATCTACCCTGGACCCTTCCACCCAAGACCCGTTCACCTACCCTTCCACCATCTTCCACCCCAACCCCCAACAATCTCGCCCCCAAAAAAACAGAACATGCCGCGCGAGAGGCCGAGAACATGCCGAAGACCAGTGACCGGCGCATCAGGTTTTGGCCTTGAGACCCACGCGCTTGATCCACTCCTGACACCGGCGCCACGGCGCTGCAGATCGGTCTTTGCTGAAGGAACTGGGAACACATCTTCCCGTTTGGGCTCCGTCGTCCCATCTCCGACCCGGTGACCGGTGGTATTCAACCCCCCTGGCACCCACCCACCCCTGTCCCATCTTCGAAACGGAGGTGGGCCAGGAGCCCTAGGGATTATTAACATATGTTTCCAGGGGACTTGCGCTGGATCAAAACGAGGTCTTAAACCAGGTCAAAACATGATGTAAACCAGGTCTTATTTGTTCCACAAAGAAGAATTACTAAGAATTACCATGAGTATAACATATATGTTATAACTATGATCGGTCTTCTATTTTCTAGAAGGAGATTTCACATGATTTAACCATAGGGGAAATAGAACTTAACATGATTTAAGCAAAACCAGGTCAAAACGAGGTCCGAGGTCTTTGCGCTGGATCTCATCGGCCGGTTGTGGGGATACAGCATCGCATACAGCCCCTTTTCTTTGGGGGGGGAGGGGGGATTGAAGCATCTCATAATATCTCATGTATATGGTCTCTGACTCATACTATATGATTGAATGACTGTGCCGTCTTGAAATCAGTGCAACACAAAACGTTCTGAACTGTGAACCTCTTTAAGTCCAACTGCCACAAAGGCACCCAATCAGTTGTACTAGTTATGTATCATGGCTACTCATAGCTCTTTCCGCTTCTTCAAGCTGCCAGCAGCTTCTTCGTTCGCGGCTTGGTGTGTCAGGATCCCAAGTCCTTCACTTTCTCACGGAGATGTTTGATCCCTCTGTATTGGGGGGTATGGCAGCTACTGAAACCCCGAAAGGTCTCAAAAGAAACATTCTGACTTCATAACTGAAAGCGACTAGGCCACCCAAGGCCACCATTGGGAGTAAACATCCAAAAACACATCATAACTATAACGTCATATTCATATTCTATAGGATACCGAGTTTCGATCAATTCAATCCAATGATGTGTCGACCAGTGGCTGCTGGCGTATCAGTGTATTTCTTTAGCCTTCGGTCAACAGTTGCCCCCAAAGACCTGCAACACCTAGATCGAATGGTCAGCCGGGACATTTGCAAACCCGGGAGGAGGCCCACATGGAACCTGAACATGGACGTTTGGAAGATGATTTTCCTCTACTGTACTTGAGAGAAGGGAGACACGAAAGGTAGGACAGCGGGAAGAGAAGCGAACGCAGGTGGCAGATCAGGGTTCGTGCAATTCCAGCACAGCGTGGAACTTTTGTGCGGGTCGCGTGCAAAAACTGTAGGCACGGGTGAGACAAAGCGTCATGTCAACATGCGGGGGCTGGACTTCGGGTGGAACTGCCAAACCCAGCACGGCTTTAGAGAAGATCAAGAAGAAAAAACAACGCACATGTCGATGATGCCACACCACTGACATGGGCGGCAATTGTTCCTCCTCACTGTGCACCCAAACTCTTACCGATCGTGCCCCTTCATGGTCAAACAGCCTTGCATTCTGGCTCAGCCAGGGCAAGCTGTCTGCAGAGGAAAGCGACATCTGTGTACATGTCTGCATTCCTCCAATCTAGAGAAACTCTGGAAAACCATGGCAGCTGGAAGCTTCGAATGAAGGTCTCCGTCCCCTCACGTCAAGAGCGTGTCTGTGGAGTCAAGAGCGGCGCGATCACCTCGGCACACAAGCAGGAAGGCCGAAGCCTTGCACAACCTGACCTGAGATGGACGACTTTCAAACAGATATCATTGAATCAGAAGACAAATGTGTATGTATATGAAAAAGACTGAAAATGTGTAAAAAAACGTTGTGTTAAATGTCCGGGCCAGGAGTGTTCAAAGCTCGAGGAAGACTCCTCTAGTGATCACTTAGTGATCTTTCACCAAAGAGTTTGCAAAAATCCTTGCCTTGGAAGAGAATGCATTGGAGTTTGCCGAAAGGTCTCGCTCCCAGCCACAACCTTAAGGTCGCACGCTGGCCGTGTGCGGTGCGAACGTGCAAAAGTCGGAAGGGTTCCGTCTCTTGAGGTCTCGTCTTGCGCGAAGAGACGCTGAGATCCGGAAGGTGTGCAGATCCGGTGGCGTCAACCGGCCGTCGCCGTGCAATTTGCGCCAAAGCCAGGAAGTCACTGGGCGACGGCGACAGCTGGCCCTGCGCGTACGACGCTTGGATGTACCAGGGTCAATGCGAAGCACTTCAGCTTCTTGCCGGGCATATCTTGAAAACAACTGCAAGTAGTAAACATTGAAATGCGATGAAATGTATGGCGTTCCATGCCGAGAGGCAAAGCTTTCGAGCGTCCACAACGAACGTCTGCAGCACCTGCAAGCGTGAGAGATGCAGGGCGACACGTCCAAGGTCAACATACAAGGTCCAACGTCTAGACCCGCAGCCACGGGGCGAATCTTTTTGCAGAGAAGGGTTCGTTTGTGAAGGAACATGAGTTGGGTACGGTAATGTCCGGACGCCCGCCACGCGGACACCGGAGGATTAGCGGCCCCGCCTCCCAATGTGCTCATGTCCACTCTCCATGCACGAAGTCGTTCCATGTGGTGCAGTCGTTGCAGTCGCAACATAGAACTCGGCCCACCAGGTGGTAAAAAATGAAGGACAAAACGAAAGCCCACGTAAACCCCGCCCAAGCAATTGCGGAGCATTTGCCAAAAGTGGATTCTTGGGGTCTAAACTCACGCAAACAACAGTGCTCAAATGGGTAGCCACAGCGCATCAACTGCACTAACAGCAACTTCATAGGCAGTCTCGCCGGGACAGCTGGCAAAAAGCTCCGAGGTCTGCACTCCCCTTGAGTTCGCCAGTTGTCAGGCAGCAAGCATCGATTCACCGTGGCCTGCGTCAGGGGAAGTCAACATGGGTTTCCTGAAAAAATAGTGAAGTGAGGAAGCCCAAGGCGAAACAAAGGAAAAAAACAAATATAAGACATACTTCCGGGGATTTATTGACTGTCTGTGCGAAGCTGCAATACAGTCAGTTGTGCTTCTAAGCTCGCCAAACTATCATCGCCCAAAATGATGTTTCGATGGTGTGCGGGTGCCTTCATCACAGTCAAGACATGTCCGTACTATCACAAACCATTATATGATACACTGTCCATACTACCATATGAATCATACAGTATCGGTCTCTTTTGACCCCGTCTGTGGTCCCTCATTCGTCCCACCTGCTCGTGTGCCGAGACCTTTGCTCGACGCTTGGAGGGGTTCGCTTTCGCAGCATCCTCGGAAAGCTCCTCCATGGGCTGGGCACGACAAACCGCTGGGCGGGTGACATGGTGGCAGTTGGTGACTGCGGGTCGGATGCTTTTGGAAGTGTCCTTCTCTAGTAGTTCCCGCTCAATCTGGACCATCTGCGCCTCCAAGCACAAGTGAAAAAAACATGAGAAACATCGACGTAAGTTTGTTGGTTCTTTTGCACCTTCCTGGTATCTGGCACCCAGCCTTTACCATGACGCGGGTGGCTTTCAATCGCAACACAGCGCGGTGGAGAAAGGGCGGCAAACGGTTCACACAGGCCTTGCGGCCAGGTTTCTGAGTGGAAAGTAGTAGTAGTAGTAGTAGTAGTAGTAGTAGTAGCAGTAGCAGTAGTAGTAGTAGTAGGAGTAGTACGTAGCAGTAGTAGTAGTAACAGCAGTAGTAGTCGTAGTAGCAGTAGTAGTAGTAGTAGCAGCAGCAGCAGCAGTAGTAGGAGTAGTAGTAGTAGTAGGGGTAGTAGCACTAGGAGTTGTCGTCGTAGTCGTAGGAGTAGGAGGAGTAGTAGAAGTATAGTAGTAGTAGTCGTCGTCGTCGTTGTCGTGGTCGTCGTCGTAGTAGTAGGAGTAGTAGTAGTAGTAGTAGTAGTAGAAGTAGTAGTAGCAGTAGTAGTAGGAGTAGTAGTAGTAGTAGCAGCAGTAGTAGGTGGGTGCGCAGGCGCGATAGAGTCGTGTGTGCACGTGAAACGTAGGGTGCGCAGTGGAGGATGTGGCAAAGAAGAGTCTGGGAAGGACGTGTGGAAGCGAAACGGGTGCGCGGAGAAGGAGGACAAAGGACGAGAGATATCACAGGTGAAGGACAGGGGTGCGAACAAAGAGAGAACGGCGACACAGGTCGAGAAAGAGCGCAAGGAGAAGGAAGGCAACAGACGCGGTGGCGCTCGCAGAGCAAGCGGAGGGCAGAGCAGAGCAGAGGAACAGGGTAACGGAAATGGAAGCGGAAAGAGTGGGGAGGCGAAAGAAAGACAAGAGGCGACGGGAGGAGGAAAGCGGGCGGGAGGAACACGGTACGCGCAGGCGCCAGGGAAGTAAACCGAGAGCAGCAGTGTCTGGGCAAGAAGCAGAAGAAGAAGAAGAAGAAAAAGAAGTGGAAGCAGAAAGTGTCAAAGTAACGAAAAAAGAAAAGGCGAAAGGGTTCTCTGAGGTCTGGACAAGCAGGGCGGAATGGATATGTAGAGTGCAGCAAGTGGTGAAGGGCCGACCTGGCACGGAGCAGTTTGCAGGTGAAATATACAGGAGGTGTGCGGAGGTGCGAAGTCATGCAAGGCAGTCTGAGGTCCGGACCCGAAACGTGAAGGGACACAGAGACGGTGTAGACGTACCTGGCAGAAAGAGTGGTAGAGAAGAAGCGAAGTGCAAGGAATGTCGGCGCAAAGGGACGGAGGCGCCGGCAAAGCCAGAGGCATGCGAGGTACCTGACAGAACAGGGACGAGCCGAGCGGACAAGAAGGATGGCAGGCTGAGGAGGCCAGGACCAGCGCGAAGGCACGGACGGGAGGTAGTTGCCGTCCTCGGAAGCAACGGCAGAGAGAAGCGGCAGCATGTGAAAACAGAGAAAGTGGGAGCGAAAGCGTCATAGGTCTTTTTGGAAGCAGCGATGCGGGCGCAAGGTCCCGGGAGGGGTGATCACTGGAGGATCACGTTCGGTGGGAAGACCCACGTGTCTGGCACTGCGTCCCCCACGATCTCCATGGGCACATATGTGCCCTGCAGGACGAGCTCCATGAGCTCTAGCAAAGCGGGCCCG